CTCCCTTCTGCAACAGCTTTGTACGCTGCTTCACTATGTTAAGTAGCAACAAATAATGCCATAGAAGGATGACTCTAGCCTCACTAGCTTGCCTCTTCACTTGCCTTGTAGGTGTGGATTGGGGTACGTGGAGGGGGGGTTACATTGTGCTTCTGCTCAATTCTTTCCATTTGTCAGCAAAAGTGCTTGTTTGTTTTCAGACCTAATTAATACAGAGAAGGGCATTGGCAGGACAGGGCACATTAATAATGTGCAGCTTCTTTTCCTTTAGGGATGCAGCTGCAGTAACACCTTAAAGAATGGGTGCTATGATGAGATGGGTGAAAGGGTGGGTGCTCTGGTGATGTGGCAAAAGGGCAGATGTTCTGATAAGGTGAGCGAAATAACAGATGCTCTGATGAGGCGCAGGGCCACAGGTTAGCCACCACAATTTAATGTATCTAGCCATCAGTCTGAAACAGTGCCTCTGGTTCAAGTACCCATTTCGACCGTGAAGTTCATTAGGTGACCAGTCATTCCCTCTCAGCCTTACCCACTTCACAGTGACACCTCCTAGATCTTCTTGGAGAAAACTCAAGATATAAATATAAAATATAAAATAATATCCCACGATCCTTTGAAATGCCCAGGGGTTCTATAGCAGTAACTCTGAGTTGTACTGTTGACATGTGAACATCATTGATTAAAATTTGCCCTCGCCAGTTAGTCAACTGAAACCTGAGCAGATTAATCTACAAGTTGAACTGATTAATTTTATAGCCCTGCTAACTCAGGAGTTATCTATGAGACGTTATACAGATGGTTATACCTTTAAGTTTCTCCAGAATTTTTCATGCTAGTCTTTTCCTAGGAAAGAGTTTCAAACACTGCTGAGAATCTTTCTCTGTATTTTCTCTTTTAATGCGTGTGTGTGTGTATGTGTATGATTCTTTTGTACCCTCTGAGCAGCCACTGTTAAGCAACCAGCTGATCTCCCTCCTTCTGTGTCTGTGCAAGAGGCAGAGATAAAAACAGGTATATTTTACAGATAGCTTGATGCTCCTAGTCCTTAGCTAGTGCTTGCTTTTCTGCAGTACACCCAACAATAAACCAACCAAGGCAGCCCCAGACTGCATAGTATGGGAAACAGAGAGACCTTCCCATCCCCAGCCATTTTCTGGGTTATGTTGTTGTTTAAAAAAAGGAAATGCAGCTTCGGAAGCTATTTCATTAGACCAATGGTGGTGAGGAGGAGGTGCTTAAACCTTTATCTTCCCCCATCCCTGCTTTTTGCCTTTCAATGAAAAAGAGCTATCTATTGGCAGAGGTGGGTATGGGGGCCAAGGCAGTGAATCATAAAGGTTGACCCCTTACAGAATATGGGGCACTACTCCTCCAACCTCAGCCACCCTACACCTGCCTGTTTTCTTATTTATAACCAGTTCAGGGGGTAGCAGAATTGTCTGCCAATTTCCTCCTCCTTACTCACAGTTTTGCCCTTGCAGAACTCAGCAGGGAGGAGGATGGAGACAATACTAGTTGGCTTTGCCTCCCTTCCACTCTAACTAGTCTCAGTAGGCATCAGCCACTACTGAACCAGAGGAGTTGTGGTGGTAAGAAGGCACATGAGGGCTGGCTGAGGTTTCTGAGACAGTGCCCCACTCACCCTCGTGGACCAGCCTTCATTGCTGATAGCCCTGCTAGGTTGCTTAGGCACTAGCACCTGCCTGGGGGAGCCAGGCACTGGTACCGACCCTGGCCCCAGCTGCTCCCATCTCCATCTCTGCCATTCGCTCATGCTTGCCTGATTGCAATGTAAAACCATCCATGAATGTCACCGAGACACAAGGCTAAACATCTCAGGATAAAGTGAATTAATAATTCCCCCTGTTCTGTAAAAGCTGAGCCAGTGGAGGTGTGTGTGAATGACTAAAAAGCAAAATGCCTCCGGGGTGACTTTTTATTGTGACTCTAATTAAGTCCTTGCCAATTTGACGGGGGCTGTCATGGTACTCTGATTTAACGCCCTTATTAATATCAATTGGCTTCTGTCTCCCATTTCAACAGGACACGATCTGTTATCCACCTTTAAAGTGTGGCTTTAAAAAAATGAAAAAAAGTTTTTTTTAAAAAAATGAAAAAGTATATCCCTCTAAATTGTTTATGATCCAGCCATACTGGCAAGAAAATTACGTTTCTGTCGTTTCAGATTTTTCAGCTGAACACACTTCTTGACCCCGTCTCCTTCCACATTCCTCCTTAGGTTACTTAAATTGAGTTTTGGTTTTGGTTTTTGTTTTGTTTTTCAAATTAATCCCTTTTCTGCCACTCCTTTTTATATTTTTGAGCAGAGACTGATAGCCCATAAAATTGATGTGGGGAAAGTACTGGCTGCCGAGTAAATTCTTTTGTCAGCGGTAGCGATAGGGGAGAAATTTGATTAGGTTCTCATTTAAAGCCAAATTTATCAAATTTTCAATTTCTGAAACAATATAATAACCAAAACACAGGCATCCTTCAAAATTCATAATTATATTTTAAAAAATGCCAGATAGTTCTACAACCAAATAATGTTTACACAAATGCATATGTTAGGGCAAAGTGTGCCTAAATATATATATATATTAATGAGATAAACATATAAAAATGCATCATATTGTGAGAAATTGCTTGCAGAAATGTCTGTATTAGTCAAAACTACATATAAAAATCTGTTCTAAGGGAAATTCACACTAAAATGCTGGGGAAAAAATCCATTAGGTGTTTTAAAAAGAAAAATTGCAAATTGCTGCAGAAACGTTGGAGAGCCAAATTTAAGATTGGAAAAAATAAGAAACGGATTATTCCATCCGTAGTCAGAGATGACCAGATCCTTGCATCCCTAGTCAGAGGTGACAGGATCCAAAGGTCTCTCTTTGTGACTTCCCACATGCTCCTTGTGGATTGAGCATTAATAGCATTTGATTGCATTCTGGGAGCAGGTGTAGGCAATTCATACTTTGCCCAGCAACCCAGCTCTTTCCTGGTGTTGGTGTTGCTGGAGTGTGCAAGAAGAGATGCATCCTTGTGCATCATGGGATATGGCATGGGTACATTTGGCAGGGAATTGTGGCTGAGCCACTGCCCCTCCATGATATACATGGCCGCTGCTGTGGCATATGAAAAATGTAGTTCTTTGGGGAGGGTGCCACCGCGTTTCTGGGAAAAACTGGAATCCAGTGGGTTCCACCATGGTTCCAGGGACTTAATAATCATTGTAGGGTGCACTGTCCACCACATCAGCTCAGGAGGCTTCTGGGAGCGCACATTTCCCCTGTTCTGTAAAAGCTGAGCCAACAAAGCCTCCATGGGTCAACAAAGCCTTTGCTGGATTCTGCTCAGTTTCTGTGGCAGAGCTGGGCCTCTCTGGAATCAGATTCTGGATTCCCATTTCTGGGTGTCTAGTGGAATTCAGAACCTTGTGGTCTCATCTACTTCCATCTACAGGCAGCTTTAGGGTATGAGCAGAGTTTGTGCAGGTCCAGATGGCCTCACTACAAAGGGAAAGACTTTGCTATAGTGAAGTCAGCATGGCTTTTCATCACCTAAAGCACCTGGTGTAATATTTCTTGAGTCACCCATAAGACCCAAGTAGCAATGCTTTAAATCCCTACCATAATACAGCTCTCCTATATTGCTTTTGCAAGAAACAACCAGCTCTTCTGGCGTGGCCCCCTTGCAAGCCAGCTCCTCCCCGGCCAAGACTGATGCAGGAACTGAAGGTAGGAAATACTCTGCTGAGACAAGTTGTCATAGCTAGCACCCCACTGTCTCGGGGTGATGCTTAGGAGCTGCTTCAGCATATAGTAGAAATGGAGGAGAATTTTGATTCAGTTTGCATTTAAAGGTGAAGGGTTGCTGCCAGTGCTAATCCTACTCAGAGTATACCTATTGAAAATAATGGACATGCTTAACTTCTGTCCATTCATTTCAGTGGGTCTGCTTGGAGTTGGCTAGAACCTGAACTCACAATTAACACTTTCTGAAACTACACACAAACCCAAAGGTAGCCATCCTTCAGAATTCTCACTTCTCCAAATTTTGCAAGATGGCTTTCCGGCCAAGTAATGTAACAAAAATGCATATACCAGAGGTAAAGTATGCATATAAATGCATATATTTGTGAAAACAATATATGGAAATGCATTGCTTTAGGAGAAATTGCATTGCTAAAAAAGTGCATATTGGGTGAAATTGCATCGGATATTAGGAGAAATTTGCACTAAAATGCTGATGCATTTTCATTAGGGGTTGGGGAATTCACAAACTGAGACAGAAATGTAAAGAACTGAAATTCAGATAGGAAAAGTGAGAAACTGAAGTTGACATATTTGGCCACACCTGATAACTGTTAGGACACCTGCTTTGCTTTCCATGTGTTAACTCTTGCTTTCCACAGACACACACACCCCAAAGTGCAGGACTTGATTCTTTTGTGTGGTTTCAACTCTGTGCCCTGCACACACAGCTGGTGAGATGGGATTGAGCCTCAGGTTTTGACAGATGCATCTAAGGAGAGTGGTGATTAATAGCAGAAGTGACTGTTCTCAGCTCACTACTGTGGTGATATGAGAAGGCCATGGAAACCAGGCAGTTCCCCTGGAAGCTTGTATATAGTTGCTTGTGCAAAGAGAAACCAGTGTGGTATGTAGATTAGAAGTTGTTTAGAGCATAGGGCAATTCCCTTTGTGACACCCAGTCTGTTGTATGTTTTCTGCTTGCCTGAAATGTGCATGACTGACATTGGTTCACAGAGACCTAAAAATCACCATTGGGATTGTTGATTTATTAAAGTGTCACCAATGATACCCGCCCCTTACCCTTCCAAGTTTGTGCTATGGCACTTTCTGTTCTAGGACAGGAACATGCAAAGCTTCCTTACACCAAGTCAGACCATTGGACCCATCTAGCTCAGTATCGTCTACACACTGACTGGCAGTGCCTCTCCAGGGTTTCAGGCAGGAAACACTTTCAGTCCTACCTGGAGATATGTCAGGGATTGAAACTGGGACCTTCTGTGTGCAAAGCATATGCTCTGCCACTGAGCTACGTGACCCCTTCCCAAATAAGAACACAAGAAGCTGCTTTGTAGTGAGCCAGACCATTGGTCAACCAAGCTCAGTATTGTCTACACAGCCTAGCAGCAGCTCTCCAGGGTTTGAGGCTGTGGCCTCTGCTGAGGGTTGGACCTGGGACCATCTGCATGTCAAAAAAAAGCAGAGGGCAGAAAGGCTTACTGTCCCCTGGTGTAGGTAGACATGAGTGTACAAGGAAACAGTTGCATCATCTATATTGAGCACTGTCTTGTAAGAAAGGAAGGACAAGAATCCAATCCGGTGGAGAGGGAACAGGGCTGGCCCTCCCAGTAGGCAAAGTGAGGCAGCTGCCTCAGGCGGCAGATGCTGTGGAGCAGGGAGGAGTCAGTAATGAGGTGTTTAGAGGCCACTGCTGTGTGTTCCACACTGCCTTCTCTCTATGTCCTCAACTCACCTGATATACTCACCTTGGAGGCAGTAGTGGCAGACTCTGTCCCATTGCTGCTAATCTTGCAGTAAGGTACAACTGACATTATGGTCCGTTCTTATACAAGAAAGAAACAGGTGAGTGGGCACCATCTTGTTTCTGCACCTCAGGTAGCAAAATGCCAGGGGTCCCCCCTGCCCGTCTTAGCCTTTAAAGAATTTTTTTGAAAGGCATAAAAAATTACCAGCATATGATCACATCCATAGCATGCATTTAAAGCACATTACTCCCCCCCCCCAAAAAAATCCTAGGAACTGTGGTTTGTTATGGTGCTGGGAATTGTAGCTCTGTGTGAGTAAACTATGGTTCCCAGGGTTCTTTGGGGAAAGCCATGTGCTTTAGTTGTACGGCTTGGATGTGACTCAATCTCAGGCCATATACACACCATTTATTTAAAGCACATAATTCCCCCCCCAAAGAATCCTGGGAACTCTACCTCTCACAATTCCCAGCAGCCTTAACAAGCTACTGTTCCCAGGATTCTTGGTGCACATGTGCTTTAAATGTATGGTGTTTATGCAGACTAGGTCATTATCTCTCAAACTCCATCTCTACCTCTCTCTTTACCCATCCCAGCTATACGTGAATTCTGCTTCTAAGTAGTCTTTGGGAGTCTTTTACAATAAGCCACAGTACTGCCTTAAAATGAAATATTCTTTCCAACTGCTGAAACACCAAGCTGTTAGGAGCTCAGCGAGACCAGTCATGAAACCCAAGCCTGCGCCAAGGGAGCCTCCCAAAAACATCCAAGGTAAGGTCTGGCATTCATAGCCAACGTCAAGAGGGCTGGTGGGCATCAGGCAGGCAGGAGTTTTATTCTCAGCTTGTTCCAAACAATTTCAACTGGAGTGTGAAGCCTGTCATAATAGGTAGCCTTTCACAAATGCCTATATACAATTCAACATTGACCTCCACTCTTGCAGCCAGTATGGCTCTGAATACCTGTTTCTGGGGGTTGCAAGTGAGGAAAGCGTTGGTGTTGTCCTCAGGTCTTGCTTGTTGTCTTCCCACTGGGGGTATCTAGTTGACCACTGAGAGAATAGAATGCTGGACTATAGGGGTCTTTTGGCCTGCAGCCAGGCTCTTCCTATGTGCTTGGATTGGAATGCTGTGTACCGTTCTGGGTGTCATGATTTTGAAAGGGTATTGTAGAGCTGGGAAATGTACAGAAAAGGGCAACAACCAAAAATGATGAAGGGGATGGAGCAAGCTGCCTGACAAGGAAAGGTTGCAACATTTGAAGCTTTTTCGCTCAGGAGGGAAAGGCAAAATAGGTGGAGCATACTGGAGGCATACAGAAAGTGGACATGAAGATGTTCTTTTCCCTCTTGCATAATGTTAGATACTACAGGGTTTTTATCCAATGGGGCTTAATGCTGGGGTAAAGGAAAGTACCTTTGCTTAAGGTAAAGGTAAAGGGATGCCTGACCATTAGGTTCAGTCGTGGCCGACTCTGGGGTTGTGGCGCTCATCTCGCTTTACTGGTCGAGGGAGCCGGCGTACAGCTTCTGGGTCATGTGGCCAGCATGACTAAGTCGCTTCTGGCAAACCAGAGCAGTGCATGGAAACGCTGTTTACCTTCCTGCCGGAGTGGTACCTATTTATCTACTTGCACTTTGACATGCTTTTGAACTGCTAGGTTGGCAGGAGCAGGGACTGAGCAACGGGAGCTCACTCTGTCGCAGGGATTCGAACTGCCGACCTTCCGATCGGCAAGTCCTAGGCTCTGCGGTTTAACCCACAGTGCCACCCACGTCCCTTACCTTTGCATAGCTTTGCATAGCTAAATAATGGAGTTTGCTCTAAGGTGTAGTGGTGGCAAACAATCTCATTGTCTTTAAAGACAGGGTAGAAAAATCATGGAGGAACATGGTAGCGCATGGAGTTCTTATAGGTGAACTTGAACTGCCTTGTTTAGAAAAACAAACTTACTAAATGCTATACTCTAAAACTTAGAAAGAAAGGGAGGGGGTGCTTCTCAAGCTGCCGGCTTGACAGCTTTTTTGTGACTATTAAGGCCATTTCTGGCTTCATTAAGCCCCTTCATTAAGCCTGCCCCTCAATCTCATAACATAACATAACAAACATAGGAAGCTGCCTTATACTAAGTCTGGTTACCCCAGTGTAATCTACTCCAACTTTTCCCAAGTGGTGCTGTCCAGATGTGGTTGGATTCCAACTCCCATCAGCCTCAGCCAGCATGCCCAACAGCCAGGGTGGTGGTTAGTGGATTCCAGCAACATCCTGGGGGGGGGGCGGGGGGAGGAGAACCAGGTTGGTGAAGCTTGATCTGCTCTGATCAGCAGTGGCTCTCCAGAGTCTCAGACACTTGGTAGCTGATCTTCTTTTTACAACAGACCTGGAGGGATTAAATCTGGGGCCTTCAGCATGCAAAGTGCATGCTTTGCCATCATGCTATGGACCCCTCCTCCTAAGCCCCTTTCCTCAGACCATCTGCGAGGGAGAACAAACAGCGCTGAGTGCGAAAAGGTGGCATAGTTGTGGCACAGCCAGTTGCTGAAACATGTGATGAAAATGCTTTAATTAGAAGCTCCTTTACCCAGGGCATCCAGGAACACCGCCCCTCCCACAAGCCAATCAGAGAGCGAGAGTAATTAGGCTAATATGCCATCCTGGTTTGACACAGTTAAACCTAATTAGTTGATCCTGTGATTCTTAACCCTTCTTCTCCCACATCTCCTTAAGCCTTAAGGGCTAAGCCAGCTCAAGGCTCCAGAAAGCTTTCCTCTCCCGGTTGGTTCAAACCTGGATGTCAAGTTGCAAAAGTGAAAAGGGTGGAGAAAGAATAGCTTTTAAAAATAAGATGTAAAGGAAAGAAAAATGTCTCAGTGGCACCTGTGCAGAGCAGGTGGGGGAATAAACACAGGTAGAAATATGACGTTAGCAGACATTTCTCTTGCCACAATTCTCATACATTCATTAACTATATATATATATATATATATATATATATATCCTGCTTGCTTGCTCGAAAGAAAGCCTCTAAGTGAGTTACAACGAGCAATCTATTCTTTTTTTACAAAGAGCAATCTAAAATATGCATTAAATATACTAATGAAGGCAAATATTTAAAACAAATTGACATAATTTTTTAAAAAATCAAAATATAAATCAGCAGTTTTAAAAGAATGACACATAGTAAAATTACATATTAAAGCCCACCTTGCCAAAACAAAGAAAGATGGTTTTATTTAGCAAGCATTGAAAACAATGCAGCAAAGTTGTCTGGCTAACATCGATAGGCAGGAGATGCTAAGGATTGAACCTGGAACCGCCTCCATGCAAAACAAATGCTCTACCAATGAGCAGATGCTCTACTTCTGAGTCCTGCATCTGAGTGCACAATTCTTTGAGCCTTTCTCCAGGTTCCACCACTCAAAAGGTAAAGGACCCCTGACAGTTAAGTCCAGTCACAGATGACTCTGGGATTGCGGCTCTCATCTCGCTTTTCAGGCCGAGGGAGCGGGCATTTGTCCACAGACAGTTTTTCCAGGTCATGTGGCCAGCATGACTAAGCCGCTTCTGGCAAAACCAGAGCAGCACACAGAACCATCGTTTACCTTCCCGCAAGAGCAGTACCTATTTATCTACTTGCACTTTTTTACGTGCTTTCGAAATGCTAGGTTGGCAGGAGCTGGGACCAAGCAATGGGAGCTCACCCCATTGCAGGGAATCGAACCGCCGACCTTCTGATCAGCAAGCCCAAGAGGCTCAGTGGTTTAGACCACTGCGCCACCCGTGTCCCTTTCCCCCACTAAGGCTGATATAATTAACAGGGATGTGTGACAGAGTCTTTTTGGTGGAGGCCCAACAATTGTGGAACTCCCTCCCATGTGAGATCACTAATGTCCTTTTAGGCAGGCAGGTCAGGCATTTCCATTCTGCCAGGTTTTTAATACGTGTGAATTTTATCTGCTTATGTTCTTGTGCCCCCCCCCCAACTCATGTTTTATGGTGGCTGAAATTGCTATTTTTACTTATTTATTATTATTGTAAATTTGAAGTGCGGTTTTATTGTCCCGCAGGCACATCTTAGAACCAAGAGGTGATATAGAATGGCTTAATGAATAATTAAGAGGAAATAAAATAAGAGGCTCCATGCCCTCACCCAAAATTCTTCCACCCCCCTGCCAAAACGTGAGGGATCAGACAGGGTATTATTTGAATGGCAAAGAAATTCCCCATTGGCACAATTTTGACTCTTTTTTGTTGGGCTTGGCAGACAGATGTTTATTTCAGCACCCCAGCTGGGGAGTCTGGAGTTTTATGTGCTGTAACATCCCAGCTTTTTAGCCCACAAGCGCCCAACAGCAGGATTCAGAGCAAAAGAACTGCCAGGCTCTGATCACTGGATGATCAAATACAACACAGAGACAAGGATTGGCAGGACAGTTGCTATGGCAACGTCCAGGTAGTACGGCTTTCTTTGCCCTCCCGTGGATTGGAGCCACCTGGCTCAGAAGGTGTCCCATGGTCCACCTGTTTCAGAGCTGTCAGGGGTCAGAGGGATATCAGGTCTGGTTCATGGCTTCGTGCTGCTTTAATTTCCTCTGATCTCGGAGGCTGTGTGAAATGAGGACAAGGGCTCCGGGCACAAAGGCATGGCATCCAATGGCCAAACACAGAAGCTGGCATACTTGGAAGACAGAAACCGTAACTGCTGGTGGCTTTGCAATCCCTGCAGATGCCAGTTATTATTTTGCCCTGCAGTCATTTTGGAAGTCTTACTTGGGAACATAGCAAGCTGCCTTATCTTAAGTGAGGCCATTGGACAATCCAGCTCAGCATCATCTGTGAGGAGGGGAATCAGCTCTCTAGGTTTTCAAGCAGGGGATATTCCAAGTCCTAACTGGATATACAGTGGTACCTCAGTTTACAGATGCTTCAGTTTACAGACTCCGCTAACCCAGATATAGTACCTCGGGTTAAGAACTTTGCTTCAGGATGAGAACAGAAATTGCGCGGCGGCGGCAGGAGGCCCCATTAGCTAAAGTGGTACCTCAGGTTAAGAACAGTTTCAGGTTAAGAACGGACCTCCAGAACGAATTACTGTATTTTTCGCTCTATAGGATGCACTTTTCCCCCTCCAAAAATTAAGGGAAAATGTGTGTGCATCCTATGGAGCGAATGCAGGCTCCTTGGCTTCAGTGATAGCAACACAAAGCCTCCGAAGCGCAGAGGGAGCGCTCCCTCCGTGCTCCAGAGGCTTCGCGTTGCTTTCGCTGAAGCCTGGAGAGCGAGAGGGGTCGGTGCGCACCAACCCCTCTGGCTCTCCAGGCTTCAGGGATAGCCATCTGAAGCCTCCGGAGAGCAGCGGGAACTCGCGCTGCGCTCCAAAGGCTTCAGGTTGCTTTTGCTGAAGCCAAGAGAGCAAGACTCTCCTGGCTTCAGCAGAGAGGGAGAGCTGCACAGCACCCCTTCAGCGAGGTGGGAGGAGAAATGGAAGGGGCTCCGTTTTTCCTGCTGCTTTGCTGAAGAGGCGCTGAGCAGAGAGGGGGAGAATTTTTTTTTCTTGTTCTCCCCCTCTAAAACAAGGTGCGTCCTATGGTCGGGTGCGTCCTATAGAGCAAAAAATACAGTAAGTTCTTAACCCGAGGTACCACTGTACTGGGGGTTGAACCTGGAACCTTGTGCATGTAGACTAGATGCCTATCACTGAACTACAACAATAAAAAAGAAAACTAAGAAGAGATGAACTCCAGAGAGGTTGTGCCTGCATGAGATGGCTCAGTTGGTACAGCATGAGACTCTTAATCTCAGGGTCATGGTCGAGCCCCACATCAGATTCCTGCATTGCAGGTGGGTTGGACTACATGACCCTTGTTGTCCCTTCCAACTTTACAATACTATGAGTACATGATTGTTCCCAGAAACCGGAGCCGTCAGCTCTGGTGCCCAATATTCCCCAGAAGTTCTCTGCCACCCGGGGATAGGGGAGAAATTTGGCTCAGTGAACAGCGAATGTGCCTAATTTACATGTCTTGAAACAAGTCACAGACTGAAGCAGCCATAGAAATTGTGCAGCGTAGTGCTCCAGCCGAGTAATGTGTACAAAAATGTATGTGCATATGGATGCAGTGGAAATATCACTTACAAAATGCATTGTGTTGGAGGAAGTTGCAAAACGTACATATTAGGCAAAACTGCATATCAGGGAAAATTTGCACTAAAATGCTGGTGTATTTTGAAGAGGACTTAAAAAAAACAACAACCTGCAAACTGATGTGGGAATGCAGGGAACTGTATATAAGATTGGAAGAATTAGAATCTATGAGAAATCAAAACTAACAGATTTGTCTATTCCCATTCCATCTCTCCAGAAAGCCTAGTCCCCACTGGACAGAGCACCTTTAAAACAACAACTCTTGCACAGTTGTGTGCAAACAGCTATGCTTGCTTCCCCTTTGCCTCCATCCATATGGCCTGCCTTGATTCTTCCTAGCCCACCCCTCATTCTCTCTCAGCCATCCCAGGGGCAAAACTAGGCTTTATTTCACCCAGGTCAAAGATCCAGTTTCGTCCACACACACACCATACACATTTGCATACACACACACACATACATAGGTAGGCAGCCTCAATGGTTCCCCTCTGGAGCCTTCACCTGGGACAAAAAAAACACCCCAGCTAGCACACACACACACACACACACACACACACCAGCTCTGGCTCTGGCAATTCATTCGTACTGAACTGAATAACAAGCAAAGTTTCTGGGGTATGTGAATATGGCCATCTTCATTATTATTATTATTTTAGCAACTAGCAACTGGAAGACAAAATGCTGCTAGCTTCTCCTTAAAAGAAAACCAGCCCAAGACTACTCAAAAGATCAGGCTCTCTCTGCACGGCTTGCAACAGTTAACAAGGAAATGCGATGGAGGGGAAAACCTTCACCCCTAATATTTTGGCAGGAGCCCAGATCAGCTGTCAAGCTACACTTCTCCAGAGAGGAGGCTGGCAGAGCTAAAGGAAAACACAGTGATCCTTTTAGCTGACAGGCGCTGGGGTGGAGCAGGTGTGCAGCTCTGCTGGGCTCTTTTTGGGTTGCAAAGTGGTGCTCCCTCGAGCCGTCCTGCCAGCTGCTTTGCACGCCAAAAGAGCTGAAGCTTTGAATCTCATTCAGTCCAGAGTCCCTGCACATGCATAGGGGGCAAAGTGTTCACAAGATCGCTTAGTGGAGTTTAATTGCCCCTTCATAGTATCTTAAGCAGCTGTGAAAGGGGAAGGCTAAAAGGGTTGGCTTCCCCCATCCTTCCAAAGAGCAATTTTATGGATTTCAAAACCATTTGTATTCATTGGGTGAGTAACAACTTGGGACTGAACTAAGACTTTGGTACCCGTGAGGAGGGAGAAATTTGATTCAGTTCCTATTTCAAGACAATTTTATCAAATTCAGTTTTTGAAACAATACGCAGAACAAAACTCAGCCTTCCTTCAAAACCCGCAGTTCTCTGCATTTTGTAGTGCAGTTCTCCAGCCAAGTAATGTGCACAAAAATGTGCATACTGGGGTAAAATGTGCAATAAAATGTGTAAAAATAACATTCAAAAATACATCAAACTAGGGGAAATATGCTTTGCAACCATATATTTGTCAGGCAAAAAATTGTATACAATAGTGTCTGTATTAGGATAAATTCACACAAAAATTCTGATGAATTTTAATGAGAAACTTTAAAAAGAAAGAAAGAAAGAAAGAAAGAAAGAAAGAAAGAAAGAAAGAAAAGAAATAAATGGCAACCTGATGTGCAAATGTGGAACACTGAACTTAAGACGGGGGGAAATGAAAAACTGCCATACCTCCTTGTTCCCATGGGAAACCAACTCACTTGGATTTTGGAGTCTGTATATGTATCTATATATTTTCCCCAAGCAGAATTGAAACTATGCCTCGCAGTGAGTCTTGCCCTAGATCTTCTTGACTGATTGACAGGTCCGTCCTAAGAAGAAAAGGGAGGGGGAGAAAAATTGGTGCCACAAGGGAAGGCCGAGCTCAAAAGCTTTCCCCAAGAACTGCCAGATGCAAAGCAGGGTGTTTGATAGAGTGACAAGTAAACGGCTAAGCTACTGAGTCTAGAAAGGGTCCGTTTTGGAGCGCTGCACGTCTCTGCAGTGGCAGTGATGGTGGTGATTACAAGCAGGACCTGCATCAGAACCTTGCAGTGTTGAGCGCTCCTTTTCCAGGATACTCCATTCCATCCCCAGCCCAGTTGTTGTTTATTTAATTTGTATACAGCCCTTCATCTTAAGACCGCCCATCCTCACATTCTCCAACAGTCAACTAACATTCCATATCAACTGAGCATATTCATTCCTTGGTAGTTTATGTTGGACTACCTGCCCCCTCCCTCATTTAGGGTTCCCACCTTAAATACTTTTTGTACTGCTGCACACCTAGCAGATCTCACAAGTGTGCTGATATCACCCTCTAGTGCTACGTAAGGATCTATGCTAAGAGAAGGTGTACGTTGTTTATATTATCCTTGCTCTTGATGGGGTTGATGTTTTTCAACAACATGGTGCTGAAAGCAACCTACTAAGGAATATCATACAGTCATAGCTTTTGTTCCAGAGGATCAGGATGAAATGCCTTGCAGAGGCATATGCAGACTCCAGCCCTCCAGATGTTTGGGACTACAATTCCCATCATCCCTAGCTAACAGGACCAGTGGTCAGGGATGATGGGAATTGTAGTCCCAAACATCTGGAGGGCCGGAGTTTGCCTATGCCTGGCCTTGCATAAAAAAGAGCAGCAGAAACAAAAAAAGTAAAACACCAAACATTAAAAATGCAGAGCAAGCAATTCACAATTAGAGTTCAAATGAAACGTATGCTTCACTCCAATACAGATGTAAAAGGCACGTAAGATGGATTTGTCTATTTCAGTTCCCTTAGTTTCCAGTTTTTCCAGTCTTAATTTGGTCCTCCACATTCTTGCACAGCAAATCACTTTTTTTTAATTTAAAAAAAATGCTCATGATTTTAAAAAATATTGAAAATTCATCAGTATCTTAGAGCAAATTTCTCCTAATGAACACATTTTTGCATGCAGTTTTGACTCGTTTGTACATTTTTGCAAGTAATTTCCCCTAGTATAATACATTTTAGTATGTCATTTTCAATGCTATATTAATTTTTATGCACATTTCCCCATAATATAATATGCATTTTTGTAAACATTGGTTAGTTGGAGAATTTCATCATGAAGTTTGGAGAGCATGAATTTCAAAGGATGGCCATGTTTCCATTCTCATATTATTTTGCAAAGTGCCTTTAAATGTGAACTGAATTGAATTTCTTCCCCAGAGTGTGTGTGGACATTAGGCTCTCAGAAATGTTTCTAAGGTGTGCATGGGAGGGACTCAAAGTAATCCAATATTATTATGTTAAAAAATTCAAAAGGAACTCTAAGCATGCTGAAAAGAGACAAAGAATGTCATAGAACTGTAGAAGGAAGCTCTGGGTGCACACTGTTCAGGGCTCAGCCTCTTCTCTCAACCTCAGCTCACTCATTCTCTCAGCCTTTGCATATTAGCAGTCAGCTCAGCTCATCCCTCCACAGAAAAACTCTGTTTCCAAAGCACAGCCAGGAAGAAGATGCAGTCAGTTGCTCAGTTCTAGGAAAGGTAGCTGCGCTTCTTCCTCTTCTTCTATCAATTAAACCTTCACAACAGCAGTCTTCTTTACCTGATCATTTCTGGGGGGCTTGGCCCCACCCTCCAGCAATCTTTGGGGGCTTGGCCCCTTCTTCCCTCACTCTTCCAGGATCCCTGGGTGGCCAAGAGGTCCTGTGTGGGCAAGGGAGTTCCTCCACACTGGTGCCATCACCAATAAGGCCCTTCTCTGGGCTCTCATTGACTTAAATTCCTGGAAAGGCAGGATGCAAAACAGGTGTTCACCAGTGGGTGGGAAGGGAAGAATCTTTAGAAAGAAGTGTTCTTTGGGGCCCAGCTTATCAAAGGGCTTCTGTGGTTAAAAAGAGTGCCTCATATTGGACACAGGAAGCCAATCAGCAGGCTATGTCAATGAGCAAGTCTCAGAGTGATGTCTCAGCCAGCCAATCCTCCATTTGTACTCTGAGAAACATCCAGCCTGCAGAATATGAGCTCAAAGATGTGACGCTTCTGGGTGGCAAAGGTGAGCAACTGCAGTCCATGTGCATATTCACTTTAGACAGTATCTTCCATGTCTTCCAATTCAGACATTCTAATCATTCAGATTTACTCTGTCCACATTTCTAAGGACTGTCAGTTGGAGTATGGAGGGTAGTTCTTTACTTCATTAGCATTTGCTGCAATGGGTGGCTATCAGCTTTAAAAATGGATTCGACAAATTGATGGAAGTTGAGTGGCCAACAACAGCTGTTAGGACAACCAAATAAAACCTCTGTGTTCAGAGGCAGTCTAGCTCTGTCTCCCAGCTACTGAGGAGAAACTGCCTGTGATGGGTGAGTCATGCTGTGCTTGGAAGTACCAGACAGAGGCACCCAACTGTCCTCTGTTGGAAACAGAAGACTAAGACAAATGGAACTTGGTCTGAGCCAGCAAAGCACTTTGTAACATTAGAGACAAAGGTATTCTCTGTGTTGTTTATCAAAGTGGCTAGGGAGGACTAGTGTGAAGGGACCCCTCCTAAAGGTAGCTGTAATAAGATGACTTGGAGCATCTTATGGAACTGCTGCATACTATGTATACAGAATGGGCCTTAAAGGTAAAAGTAAAGGGACCCCTGACCTTCGGTCCAGTCGCAGACAACTCTGGGGTTGCGGCGCTCATCTCGCTTTACTGGCCG